TGCCCATGTTTGTGTTTGAAAATGAAACTTTAAAAGTTTGTAAGAAATGATTTCAAAGTATTTAAGCCAGGCAAGTCACCTGAATGATTCTGTTTTACAGGCAAAGTTGGTTTGATTTCAAATTGATATCTAATATTATCAGTAGTCCCAGACAAGAGGGCATTTTACAATTAAGTGATCTGAGAAGTTCTGGACTGACTGACACATTGCACTTCAACTTGTGAGTTGCTTTAAAAACAAACCTCTCATGTACTGCCCCTACAATTCAACAAAACGTCAGACACTCATAAACCCGTTGCTCCAGGACACTTTCTGGCATAATATCAAATATATTACACCTTGCCTGCAGCCAGAAACATGATTGTCGATGGCAACAGAATCCAAAAGCTGCTCTCAAATCCTGCGCACAGCCTGGCAATAAGCAAAGTCGAATCCATGTTAGCCCCTACTGCCGGCGTAAGAAAACAAATCCCGGCTCTAAATACAGAATAATGAGGCATTAAAGTCTGGGGCTGAGGAGGGTAGAATGTCAGGAGGGAATGACGGGAAAAGGGACAATGGTTTCCCGAGGAAAGAGTGAGAGAAATAACGATGGGGGAGAAGGAAAGATAAGGATTCTGGTTTAGTTACTGGGGAAGGATTAAGTGATGTGCCACTTTTGTATGTTGAATGTGTGTGTATGCTTATGCTTACACACACACACACAACAGGCATGGTCTTTCAGACGTGCGCGCACCCTCTCTCTCATTCAATCACCCTCGAGACGCACACACATCCAGGCATGTGCTGAGCGGGGTTAAGGAGCTGCGTTGCCCTCTGAGCCAGTCTTACTGGGCTGTAATGACTTTAGTGGATGTTTGATTCTTTTTATCCACCAGTGTAATATAATAAAGCAGAAGGGAGGGAGCTATCTTCCTCAAGCTGCCTCTCTAGGGCCTCAGCGGACCGTGCTCTGACTCCTTCTCTACTTCACTCTCTACGCCCTGAGATGAAATACTTTGTCGTGAATAACCTTGACCTCCTTCCCTTGTTCCCTCTCCAGTCCTTACAATCTGTCTTCACTGGGGTATTGGGTTAGTTCAGCCTTCTGCTTTCCTCTTTGTTTCCTTTCTTCCAAGTTCATCTCCAGTGTCAGCCGCAGCACATAGGGTTTTTGAACTGCTCCACCCTGAGTGACGCGGTGTGTCAGGCCCTGTTTCACTCCACACACTCGGTTCAGGTCCCCTGCTGCTTCAGGGCCCCTCTGGTTATTTCTATTCTCTCTAAAGTCCTACCACCCTTTGTATTCAGTCTCTGTGTCTGTCTGTCTGAAACAGAAAGTGGGTCTCCCTGAGGGTCAAACTGAGACAGTACACCCATTGCAGCAAACATGAACTATAATATGATGGCGCTCATTTCACTATGTGTTAGCAAAGGAAAACTCTTCAAAAATAAACAAATGAAGACTTTACCTTGCATTTCCAGGCCCTTTTTCTGGCAGCAGATGTTTATTGTTATTGGATAACTGTCCGAACATAAATCACATGATGACATTTCTAGATATTTGCAGCACAGGTGTTAGTATCTGTTCCTCAGGGTGAAAAGGAGGGGATTTAATAGACCATGATGCTAATACATTGCATTATAAAAAGTGTTATTTGTAATATATTGTTCTCTCAGGCCACAGTTAGACAATATGCATCCTTATCAGCAAACACTTCTAAAAATAACAACTTTCAACATGATTTACTTTTCCAATTCTGGTCTCATCTCTTCAGGCTTTTCCTTTGATATAGAAGAGCAGTGAAATTCAAAAATATATCAAATAGAAATAAATATGTCTTCTAATATATGTCAAAACTAATGGTGACTTTGCATAACATACAGGAAAAAGAGAATGGAATAAGTGAAAATGTAGGTCTTGTAAAAGGAAGCTGTGTCTCACTTTCTTCTGACCTAATGTGCAAATAAGTAGGTCAGAGTTGTGTGGAAGGCAAACTTCTGACACACATGTGATTCACTGCTGATCAAGTCTGCAAGATAAAGGTGTCCGCCACTTGGCTTACAACTTAAAAGGTTGTTTTACCAAAATCAATTCGCACAAAACATATTTTCCTATTAATCATGTCAAAAGTTCTGCTTTGATTTGTCTAGGTGTTGAGATATCAGTGTGTGACATTTCAAAGGTTTGTATTACAGTTACTAATAACTAGACATCCTATAATCCCCATAATGCTTTGAGACTTAACATTTGTTGTCTGTATTATCAGGGTTAGATTTACATTTGATATAATTAATAATGAAAGTTTGGGGCTCTCTGCTGGAACTGCTACCCCCGCGACCCGACCACGGATAAGCGGGAGAAGATGGATGGATGGATGGATAATTAATAATGTAACCAACAACTTCTGCAGATGAGTAACCATATTGATACATCCGAACAGACTTAAACTAACTATCAATTTGTTATGATAGGGCGGAATATAAAACTTTAACACATCTCACAGTGAATCACAAAAGTTACAATAAATGTGCAGAAACACTTACCTCTCACTTTCTTCCTATTTACTCTTCTTCTTCCTCCCTCCATGCTGAGACCCCCCCACCCCACCCACCTGCTTCACAGAGCTGAGTGTGTTTATGTGTACGGTTGGTGATTGTGGTGGGGGGTCTAATTCAATCCACCAGCAGCCAGTTACAGTTCACATTAACGCAGTTTAATAAAAGACTATTCAATTAGCTACAGAGCTCCATGTGAGTGTGTGCTGCGTGCAGAAGCAGAATGGTGACTGTCATTGATGGAGTTCCAATTAGGCTCACTGTCGACTTCTCACATATGCAATGCCAAGTTGGCCGAGGGAAGAGAGAAGAAAGGAGGAGAGGGAAGCAGCGAGGGAGAGAGAAAAGTGTAGGGAAGAGAACTCTAACAGTGCGTGAACTCCAAATAAAAGTCTGTGGTGCATGTGTGGTAATGTGCGTCTGACAGCATGTGCATTCTACAAGTGTCTAACTTTCCTTGAATTGATCCCCATTAAGTGTTTAGAAAGGGCAGCGGTTTGTCAGAAGCCCTGACACCACCTCTCATTTGCTGACACCTCTTCAGCTGGATGAGAAGGAACAGCCGACAAACAGCGTTTCAAGAGCAGAACAAAGGAGACGGTGCAGGGATGCTCTAACATATACATTAGGCTGACTGTCCGACTCGTCTTCAGCTTGAGCTTCAAGAAGTATCAGAGGTCTGACAACAACTGAAAGAATCTTTTTTCAAATAAACACCTGCACTTAAAGGTAGGGTAGGTAATTCACTTCAGAAACACTTTTTGTTATATCCCATGGAATGCTCTTAACATCCCGATAGCAATGAACACATTAAATGCTTTGACAATAAATACATACACAAATGTCATCTGTGGAAGCCGTGGCGCTGTAAAAAGCACGACCAATCATTTTAGCTGGCCCGGCTAAAATAACTGGATGGCCTATACCTGCCTGTCAGCCTTCCATCTCGTGCACAAACTTATCTAGTGCCCTTACTGGTCATGAGGGCGTTCGTGTGTGTTGGAGGATAGGGCTGTGCATCTTCACTGGTCTCACGATTCGATTACGATTATCCTGTCACCGATTCGATTCGATATCCCGGTATATATGGGCTCAGAACAGTCTCATAATACACACATGCACACAGAAGGATTCACATTTGTATTTCATGATCCGCAAAAGGATTCAAACTTGTATTTCCGGATCCACACTTGTGTTTTTCAATGCACACACAAATGTGTTCCGTTTCATATACATGTGAATAAAATCCAAATACAGAAAAAAGTTTTACATATGTATTTTTGATCCTCACATATTTGTTTTCCGTTTAAAACCGCTACACCTGCAAACACAAACCGCTTTCTGTGCACGGATCGCTGTGCATTCGTGTGTGGGTTTTTTGAGACTCCCCTGACGGTCAGCCGATTCGTACTTGTAATTTTTTCTATCTATAGCCAATCAGATGTCTCCTCAATTCTAAGCCAATCACATGAGCGCGCCCCCACGAGGGTAGATTTCTTGCGTTCATGACGTAGCGCTTCATATACGCATTTTGCGCAGTCCGGAGCTGACAGCTCCATGGAGCCTGCCTGCATGCGCTAATCTCAGGACACCTCCACTCTCAGTACATCGCCACTTTCCGAACAGGAAATGCACGCAAATACAATCTTTTATATTTTTAAGGTACAGCGCCACTATCCGAACCATTCATGAATGCTTGTGTACACAAAAACGGCAGGCAAAACCGTTTTAAATGTGTGTTTCCTGTGTGGCGAATACAGTTGCTTTATTTATGTCTGTATGAAGTTGTTGTGAGTGTGGAGGGAGAAGCTACAGGTTAGCTTAGACTAATCGATCAGTGCACTACGAAGCCAGTGCTAGACAGTGAACTGTCAACGGGGGGAGCCCCGCCGGTCATTATCGGCCGATATTCACTCTTAATAGTTTGATCGGTGCTCTCTATAAAGGCCGATCAGGAGAGCTGGATCTGATCGATATGGACATAAACGCGAGTGAAGTATAACCGGACGCGAGAGAGAGATCAGATCAGCTGCTGAGTCTGACGGAGACACGCAGCTCTGCATAATCACCTGATGCTCCGCCCTCTGTTTAGCAAGCTGACCGGACTGCGCAAAATGCGTATATGAAGTAATCTTACCCTCATGGGGGCGCGCTCATGTGATTGGCTTAGAATGAAGGAGACATATGATTGGCTATAGATAGAAAAAATTACAAGTACGAATCGGGTGAGCGTCAGGGGAGTCTCAAAAAACCCACACACGAATGCACAGCGATCCGTGCACAGAAAGCGGTTTGTGTTTGCAGGTTCAGGGGATTTAAACGGAAAACATTTCATGATCCACACTTGTGTTTTTCAATGCACACACAAATGTGTTCCGTTTCATATACATGTAAATAAAATCCAAATACAGAGAAAAGTTTTACATATGTATTTTTGATCCACACATTTGTTTTCCGTTTAAAACCGCTGCACCTTTTTTTCTACCCTTAGCATCCTATACAGGGTCGCTACACTACCCCCCCACTACAAAGTTCCTCGCCCACGAGGAACAAATAAAACTCAGCACAAACACTACCCCCACCCTCTCCAGTGCTCTGCAGGGACCAACCCACTGGCTGTCCAGTTTTGGGCACCGGCCTTTCTTCCGTTGTGGGCTGTAGACCCAGACCAGCTCCCCGGCCCAGAAATGCTGCCCTCTTGTCCTAGTGTCATAGTTCCGCTTCTGTCCACCTTGTCCAGTCTCAGCTCCATCTCCTTCAGTTCGCCTCCGAGTCTGAACCTCACAGAGTCCAGGGTCTGCTCCGCCTCTGCCTTCATCGAGGCCTCTCTGTGTTGGGCGTTCTGCTCCATGGTACTCCTCTCCGCTATAGCTACGCTTGCCTGCTTCTTGGCCTCATCCAGCTGAGATTTACAGGTATCCAACTCTGCTTCTGTCCTTTTCAGGTCTTCTTGAGTTTTCAAAGTCTGCCGCTGCAGCTGCCGGACCACCAGCTGCTTCTCCCTCAGCAGCTCCTCCTGCTTACCAGACTCTGCTTCTGCTCTCTCTCTCTGTGCTTGCCTCATGTCCTCCTCCAGCCTGGCGGCCCGGTCGCTCTCGCTCTGCGCCTCAGCCTCCAACTCGGCCCGCTCCCTCGCCAACCGCTCCTCCTCCCGCTGCAGCTCGGCCAAGTGCTCCCGGTTGTCCGCCGCCTCCTGCTGGTAGTCTGCGATGCTGCCATTGAGCTGGGACAGCTGGTTCGTCAGACGCCACTCCAGGTTGTCCTTCTCGGCTTCCAGGCTCCTGAGCAGCTCTTTGTACTGTGCCTCCCTCTTGGCACCCTCCTCCACCAGGCTCCTTTCTCTCTCTTTGCCCTCTTGGAGGCACTTCTCCAGAGAGGCCACAAGGCTCTCCTTCTCTTTACTCTCCTGGAGATCTCGCTCAAGAGAGGCCAGCTCCGCTTTGAGTCTAGCCTCCTGTTGCTGCCGCAGTTCCCTCTCTGCATTGACAGCTGCTTCCATCTCCCTCATTTTCTCCTCTAATGAAACTTGAACACTTTCAGTCATTTCGGTAACCCATACAGGCTTCTCCTCCACTCTGCAGCTCCTCACAGCCGGTGGTACCGGCCCTCCGTTGCTCCTCGCCGCTACACTCCACACAATCTCTCTCTCCACAGCCATCTCCAAGGCCGCCTGCAAGGACTGTAGATGCTGCAGCTGTACCCCAACCCTCAAGTCCGCAGGGAGGAGGGCCCTGATGAATTGATCACGTACCAGCTCACTCTGCACTCCGGGTGGCATGTGTGCATATACCCGCCGCGTCAGGCTCTCCACGTCGTTAGCCAACGCACGCAGCGTCTCTCCAGACTTCCTACAGCGGTTACTCAATTCGTTCCGGAGCAGCTCTGGCGGGAAACACTGTCCAAACCGCCTCTTCAAAGCCCCCGCTAACGCTTCATAGCTGTGTCGGTCCTCAAGGCTAAGTAGTAGCAGACATGAAAGAGCCTCGTCTGTGAGGCACAAAGCTAGCTGTAGTGCTTTAGTCTCTATCGACCAACCCCCGGCATGTGCAAGTAGTTCAAATTGGGCATGGAAAGCCTCCCCGTCTGCCTTACCCGAGTATTTGGGTGTTTTCACGGACCCGGCGGCGGCTGCTGCTGCTGGTTGATGGGCGCCGCCATTGTTGTTTACATCCAGCTTGGAAATGGCGCGAAATGCCGCTGAAGACGGAGACATTCCCGCGTCTCTAGCCATCTTCACCGCCGACTCTCTCAGGCGCTCTCTCGCCTCCCGTGCACTCATGAACTCTCTACTCATGTCCTTCGACCACCCGCATGCTCCATCTTCCTCTTCATCACTACTTTCCTGCATCACTCCCATCTTGCTGAACTTTTCCATCTCCGCTAGCTTCCCGGCTAGCTCCGTGACGCAGTTACTGACTCCCGTCAGGATAGACGTCCTCCGTTCGAAAAGTCACTTCTGACACCAATGTAGCGTTCACAAGGTGAGTCGGAAACAGGCTTCTCGTTATTAGGCTTTAATAACTCTTGTTTGACAACAGATGATCACAGGTACATGTGCACTTGTGGGTTCAACCTCACACTCACTCTAACTCCCACACATACCCATATATATATATCAGTGTCTACGTCATAACTTCCCGCCCTCCCCCGTCTGCTCCCACAACCACAGGCCCGCACCTCAACCAGCATCACTGTGCAGCTCTGTACATGTCAAAATTCTTCCGAAAGGTCAAGGAATACCATGATCATAACACCAGAGGGAGCTCCACAAATCATGTGAAACCCAGATTTGGCACAAAAAAGGGGGAATACACGTTTCGCAATTATGCCACATCAAGGTGGAACGCTCTTCCCACAACTGTAAAGGAAAGTAAAACTATACTTACCTTCAAAACCTCTCTTAAAGAGCACCTTCGGGGGAGAGCATTGCAAAACTGGCCCCGGTAATGGTACAAATCTCAACCTGTCGTTCAATGGACAGCTTCCCCCCCATCTATGTATATACTCGCATTTTAGACTCTGTTACTAACTGTATATCTGTAGACTTGGTATGTCTTAAATGTCCGGTTAGGATGTATTAGAACGAAATCTAAAATGAAAATTGTAAATAAGCAATCTGTATGTAAAAAAATCTGTATGTCTTATATGTCTTAAATGACATGATGAATTGGAAATGGGGGACCCTGATGTAAACAAGACGAAAGTCTTTCTCTGGTCTGCATCCCCTTAACAATTGTATGTTTTGAGCTGTACTGTACTGTACCCAATATACAAGCTGTTAATAAACTTTTCAATCAATCAATCAAACTCTATGATTGGCAGAGAGACGGGGGATGCCTGAGTGACACCCTCAGCATCCTATACAGGGTCGCTACAGTATTATGAGACTGTTCTGAGCCCATAGATGTATCACGATGCATCACGATTCATACCAATGCGTTGCATCCTAAATTGTCTATATTACTGCACATGGCTTCTTTTTCATCAATGAATACATGCAGTAAATACATATAAACTCTCTTTTTATTATTTAGAAAGTGCTTCGAAATCAATAACATAAACGTCTTGACATTAATTTATAAACCAAAATCAATCAATTGTATAGCATCCCTATACAGTATCTGTGTGTGAAATGTTTCCATCCTCAAAAACAAAAAAAGAATGCTTCGGCAGTCTAGCTGCAGCTTCTAGCCACGGTCTTCTGCTAAAAAAAGGAAACTGAATGTTCTGAATGTGGCATCACAAACAAGACTTGAGTCTGAACACAGCAGACAACAGGAGTATTTACAACAGCATATAAAAACTAAAATACTGCATGTGGGTGCACACTTACATTCTCTGTCTTACTGTTACATACATCCCATGATTGTAGGAGATTAAAGTTAGCTTCCTCATATCTCAATCAGTGATTAAGTGAATAATAATCAGGTTACTATCAGCCTGTCACTCATTATTTTCAGGGTTTGGAGGAACAGAGGAGACGGTGATCGCGGAAGCTTTTTCCTCCTGCCTTCACAAACACCTATGCTTTACACACGTATATATCGTCTGAAAATAGCAAGAGGGCATTCATACTCTGCAATCCAAGACTTAACTAAATCCACCAAAAACCTGACATGATTGTAACGCGAGTATTTAAAAAAAACATAAATCCCTGTGTCTCTGAGCCGCAGCGACACGGACTGATTCAGAGCGGGTCCTTCTGCTGTTGGTTCTGGACTGGTGTTCTTGTGTTGATGGATAAAGCAGACTGCCCCGTGTTTGGTGTCGCTGTGCCGCTGTGCCGCTGTCACGTCTGTTCCCTGATCTCTGCGTCACCGACCGATTTGATATTAAAGTGACAGAGAAAAAAACATTATTGTAAAGCCGCGGCCGTAAAATCAGGAAGCAACGTCACTACGCTATAATCGATTATGTTGTGTCACTGCATCGATGCAGAATCGTCCACGTCCGCATCGCATCGTAGAAACGATTAATTTCAACACCGCTATTGGAGGAGGGGCTCTGTAAGGAAGTCTGAAGGAAGGGGCAGATTTTTTTTCGGCTGCGTACTTTCAAATTCTAGCGCACTAGAGCTGGTTTCTCCATTCTTACCTACCCTACCTTTAATAGAGTGGAACAAAGCAAGACAATTACTGTATGTGTGACGCAGAGAGAGCATTACAGTCACACACACACACACACACACACACACACACACACACACACACACACACACACACACACACACACACACACACACACACACACACACACACACACACACACACACACACACACACACACACACACACACACACACACACACACACACACACACACACACACCTCTGCTTTATGCACATTTTCCGGAGCTCGCACCATGAAGCTGTCTCCCCCAATCAAAGCCAGACCGGTTACCAAGGCAACCTCAATCCCCAATCTTTCATAGTAATAAGGCGGGAAAAATAAATGCTTGGCACTGAAGGTGCAGGGTTGATAATATAAAGAGAATATGTGAAATCCAGTTTTTGAGAAACTCTGTAAAAAAATAAATAATGAAATTACAGGCGCTGAGATTTTCTGCTGCAGCGCACATTCAGTGATGGGACTCGTTCAGATCCAACAAACCTCGGCTTCCTCAAAAAACAAACATAATCCCGCCATCAAGATTGTGTTTATCTCATTTCAGCACCAAAACCCATTCAAAACATCTCATAAAGCCCAGTCGTCTCTTTTTTCCACCCATTGTGCTCTCTTAACCCATATATTGGTGAAATATCCCTGATATTTCTGTAATTTAGCCAATTTAATTAAAAGGGGTGGGTTTCTAATAAAAGCCAAATGGAAGATAGCGGTGCCGGGGCTTTTCAGGAGCTTGTGTAATCAGAGAATTGCTGAATGGGAAAAGGCAATAACAGAGTGAATAGAGGCTGGTATTTGTAAAGAAATGTCAGGGAGAGCGCAGCGATATGAGAGTCGCCAGCTGAAACCTCTAATATGCTGTTGCTTTTAATATAGGTGATGTGCATCATGTCTGCTGGGTTAGAGCTGCCTAATCCCTGGAGAGGAAGTGGAGTTTGTGCTTGGAGCTGTTCTCTAGCTCACACACAGACACACACTCCAGTCCATTTCATTGGTCTCAGTATTTCACTTTACCAGTTTTGTGTAATAGAGCACTATATTTTATGGATTTGTCTTTGGCGTTATGAATGCTACGTGGGGATCGATGCCGTGGTGGCAAGTGAGAGTCAAACTGTGATCAATAGATCTCTTCTAACAGCCATCATTAACAAATACACTCTGCTACTTTCACATTGGCTAACACTTCTGTGAACATGTATTAAGACCCAGGAACAACTAGTAGGGGCATATTATAAGTCCATTATTTGTATCTGCTGTGTGTCTGTGTTTATGTGTGCAACATGTTTGTGTGTGTGTCCAATCACAAACCTCTATCACTCCGAGGGTGGGGAAACCGGCCAACCATGTGCCTAGATATAAGGGAAAGGCAGAGGGAGGGACGAGCGCCTCACACACACACACACACACACACACACACCAACACACGGACACCACACTACCACACACAACACCTAACACACTACACACAACACACACACACAACTACACACATACACACCACACACACACAAACTACACACCCACCCACACACCACACACACAAACACACACACACACACAACACACATATACACACACATACACACACACACCCAACTACACACACACACACACACACACCCAACGGACACACACCCACACAACTAACACACCACACACATAACAACACCACCACACACACACACACACACACACACACACACCCACCCACACCCCCCCCCCAACCCCCACCCCACACACCCACCCAACACCCCACCCACCCCACCCCCCAGCACATACACACACACACACACACACAGGTTAAGTGTGTGAGTACAGCGTAGAGCTGACCTTCAGGGTTATCTAGAAGGTTCCTCCACACCTTGCTGCTAGCTCCAACCCTTGCTTGTCACCATGGAAACACAGCTAGCAGGGACAATATGTGGCCTGTCCAGTGGGTTGCTCATGTGCATGCATTCAGGCAAGCACTTTTATGTGACGATGCGTACAATCCGGGGTTCACTACGGTGAAAAAAGCACAGCACACACACATATATATATAGAACATACACACTTCACTGTTCATCCGTCCTCCACTTAATTTATCCCTCATTCCCTTCACTCTCCTTTCCCTTCTCTCACTTAATGAAAACCATGAGCACGGCACACAATCAAGCCCCTGGGCCTGCACAGCGCTGTCAGAAGGGTGCACACGACCCCATTTTCAGTGGTGGAAGCATTATTAGCGTGCCGTGACAAGAGACAGCCATCCGCACCACACGTGCACACACATGCGCACACACACATGAAAGGAAGACACACATTGTACAGTCTCATCACCACCGGATAACTTGGATTTATTTCAGCGACAGCAGGGACGTGCCGGTGCAACATGACAATAAATCAGCACATCATACACTCTGGAGTGACATGTCAAGATAATACACTCAAAAACCAAGAAGGACAGTGAGTGGGAAAGAGGCGGAGGTTATTCAGTGATGGTGGATAGATAAATAAATGGATGGATGGACAGAGGAAGGACAGAAATGGACAGACTTGATATGCTCTCTCCTTCTTCTTCTACTTCTTCATCTCCTGCTTTCTTTGGGTTTCTCAGCCGTGATTGGTCAGTGAGCTCTGAAATAAGGAGGGAGGTAGGCAGGGGTGGAGGGAAGAAAAGAGAAACAATTAAATTAAAAATGTACCCAGGAGGAAAAGCCACAAAAAGTCAGGATGCATCATGGGAAATCAAATGATTCACACAAAAACAAGGCTTTCAAAGAGCACATCTCCAAAAATGACAGGAAACCATTAAATATCTAAATATTACAATGGAAAGCTGAGCGTTTTTCATATTCTTCTGAAACCTAACTTTTTGCCTAAAGAGAATTTCCTTTCACTTTTAGAACATGTCTTATATTGACAGTAGAGATATACTGTATGCATATTGAACTATCTAGCTAAATCCTCTTCGTTGTAAAATTAGAGGTTACACTTTCCATGCAGTCTCTCATATCTGCATTATTAGTTATCTGTTTGATATTACTGACTATTCAATTATATTTTATGTAACTGACATGCCAAGTTTTAAACAAGAGAAAAAAGGGAAAGAGGGAGAAACAACTGCTTAATATCTAAGAAAAGTATCAAATAACCTGAAGCCATTAGTTCAGACTTAGGGCTCTTTTTCTGATTGTGAGAGATGATCCTTTGAGACATGGCTTACTTTTGTTGGCTTTATTTTGATGTGGACGAGCAAAACTCAACATCCTTGAGTGTAAGACATGGAAAAATACATACTGTATGCCTACTGATGCACACAGAGCCTTATCGCTGCACTACCATGGCAGTGGTCGGTGCGTAGCTAATCAAATTGGTGTTTGACTGCAGGTGGCAACACAGGAAACACACACACACATTAACACACGCACACACACATCCAGTGAATCACAGAAGCTGCTGGGGAGGTGTTAAGTGGTTTATTAGCACAGTAAGCCACAAAAATTACCTACCATACCACACCCAAACCTTTAGAAAGACACTTCGTCAATTCCTCTGTGGAAGCTGCAGTGCAGTCATTTCAGTTCATTTATATAACTGCTTTTGATATATTTTTCTATTCCATCTTAAATTCCAAGAGCATATTACTGCTCTTTGCTTGCTTATTGGTACTCTGTACTGTTGTCATAGCACCCATGCTTAGCACTGGTTCTAATGTTTCTTTGGGATGTTACTGAGATTTCAATCTAGCCTCAAGTATTTCTACCACCAGCCCTAAATCAATACAATTGGTAACATCAATAATAATCCATCAACTCCTTATCCCTCTAGCCCTTAAATGAATGTATTCATTGTTATTGAAGGTTGTTTGCAAGTTACATGGTTGAAATCTTTATGAAACTATGTAAAATGACAAATTGATTGTCTCTGCAACAAATTAATAATAACCTCAAACTGAGGTAAGTATTTCCAAAGGGCCAAACATTGTACAACACAGTGATTGGAAGTGATGTTGGATGTTGTGTATTCATTTAGAAGCGTCTGTGTGTTGATGTAGTATTAAAAACACTGATAGCTGTTTTACAAAGCCAGTCTACTAGGGTACGACTCAACACGTCTTACATGAATACAAACACACAGTCATAGAGAGATACACAGAATGACCCAGGGGTAGTGGAGCATTAGCTTGTGGCTGCAGGGTGGGCTAGTTGGCATGCTAACTACCTCGGTGCTCGGCTGGCAGGCTGATACGCTGGCGGGCAGGTTAGCCCTTCACTTGCCAAGTGCATCCGAGGGCATCGCAGCCTGTGCCATTGAATTGGAGATGAGCGGCAAATGTGACAAGGGGATTTAGCTTTACTGTTCCACTCACGTCCCGAGATATAAAGGGGGACATGAAAATATGTGAAAGTGGCTCTGTGTGTGTGTGCAGTGAGTTTATACTCGCATTTACATGTGTGCAGATGCATTCACTTGTGAGTGTGTGTGGCGGCGGTGTGTGTAAGTATTGCCGTACTCATATACAGCAGTGTGATGGGGCATTACGCCTCATGCATAGTGTATGAAGTAGTTCTTGAATTTGAAAACTGACCCCCGGCACCTCCCACAGAACACGCAGTTCAATTTGGTGCCCTAGGTCCAAGTTTGGACTGCCGCCATCCACACTTGGATAATTTAAAGACAGGAAAAGCTTTTTATGCATGACACCTTGGGCAGAGAGGGCAGCCAAATATTCAAGCTCAAGGTCTGCAGTGAATTGAAGACGTACACTCAGTTCCCTGTTTATGAGGTACACCAAGCTACAGCTAATGCAGTCTTATCTAATAGACGATAAATCCTTCCTTCGTGAAGGTTATGATGTTCGCTTTTGTTGAAACTGCTTTTAAGGAGGTGCTGATTCGACTTTATGGTCATTCTGGGGATGCTGTTTGTGGTGCTGTTTAATTGTACTGCGTTACACTAAGAGCTTCTATGTACTTCTAATATCAGGTACACCCCATTTGCAGTAAATCAAATGGATGCTGTGGACAGACCCTCCAATAATACTTCTTGTTTCGAAGTTTAATCAGCTGCTTGACCTATACTACCATTAATAAGAAGCATGTTGCATTCAGTTTCTGTCTTAAGTGAACAAGTGAGTGAACCGGGCATGACACGCTGAAGATGAGAGAAGGTGATTCTGCTCAAACTGCAGAGATGGGATTTGACACATAGATCATTTGTATTACTTCATAGTAGAGATACATGGAAACTGTGGTGTGTCTTTTTCACTCACCTAAGACTAGAACAACACATGAAACCCCGGTACAAGAAGACACTGACACCTGTAGCCTCTTAACGCTTAAAGACATGAAACAATCAAAAACTGCACCACAAAAGATAGATACAAATTTGATTTAAAAAATATTTGAAATACATACAAAAATATATGTATACATCTAGTCCAAAATCCTTAAAACAAAATCAAACATCAGGTGCTAAAAAAAAAAAAAGCACCACACTACAACATCTAGGCATGATATGGCAGCATTGTTATGGTAAAGTCCAAAATAACCACAATGTGATTTGTAGTTTCTACATCTGATGCTTTCTAAACTTCTTCACTTGATGGAACCAACTCTTACACTCTATTTCACTTCATTATTTCTCACTGACCCTTGCTGAGATGGAGAAGTGTCTGCTGAGGTTAGATTCAACACACAGTGAAACAGCATATAGACACACCAACACACGTTCTGGTCCACCTGCCAGTTTCCATCCAATTAGTGAGCAGTGTGAGGAGTAGCGAAGAAGCAACAGTCTTCACACATGCTCGGTATGTTCGCACTTCCCCAGTCATAAGGAAATGCACAAGATACAGACAGCAAACCCGAATGTAAACACATATGCATCAAATGTAAGAAGACACTCACACACAAACACACTCGCTTCGCTCACTTGCATTTTCTCTGCGAAAAACAAAAATAATAGTAGAAAATCAATAAGTGTCTCCTCCGCTCAGTGCTAACAGCGCTGAGTTCTCTGCCTCTCTCTGGAGGAACGGAGACAGTTGCCAGGCAGGGATGTCAATCAGCAACTCAAAGAGTGGCCGGGGCTACGTCTGCTTTATAAACACACACACATTCACTGATTACACGGTCAGTAGGACAGGCAAACAGTCAATCAGTGGAGGACGCCATTTAATCAGTCAGTCGGCTAGTTGGTTACATCTTCACTAAAGATTTACTCAGTCTGTATGTTGCTCAGCTGGTCATTCTTACTACTCAATTATTCGGTCAGATAAAGGTTCAGTGCGTCAGTTATTTGCTGTATAGAAGCATTTAGGTGCTTGTTTGGAAAATACTCAATGTACTCTTCCAATATCAGAGTAGCACATGATAACAAAGGCCCAACTGTAACTGCGTACATGACGATGTATGATTATCTGGAAGAGCATCAGGACTGTTTTAGGCATATGATTGCTATGTGACAACGATTAACATGATGATTCAGTCTCTGTGGATATAGGCATATGACAAGCATCCTTTCTGACGTGGGCCTCGGCTAATCTGAAAACACACCTTTTTAAACTGGCATATTCAATATCTTAATAATTTTTCTAAACTGATTGTTGTTTTTAAGTCTTTGTTTCTAAGTCTTGTATTACTGTGTGATCTTCTTTGTCGCTTGTTTTTAATTATGCTCTGTAAGGTGTCCTTGAGAGCTTTGAAAGGCGCCCATAAATAAAATGCATTATTATTATTATTGTATACGGCTTTGAACCAGTATTCATGCATCTTGTGACTGCGTAACACCCTCTCTTGTATAGAAGTATCTGAAGGACGCTGTTCAGGAACTAGTTGCAAGTATCTGATGACTACTTCCATTCTTGCAAGGATAATAAATACATGTATCCTGATATTGAAGCTCAAGCCGGTGGCGAGAGATATTTTCCCGTCCGTGGATCATCAGCCATGAAACCACTGAAGATACAGGCATTGCTTTAATGCATAAGGTAAAGTCATTCATTTAATTTAAAATAATCTGATAGCTAAAATGGACATAAGGAGGTTTTAAATGGTGAGCAGAGTTTAAGCAAGTGTAAGAACATGTATTTGACTGTCAAGTGCACTATTTGTCAACCAAATTTGAGCAAAATCTATAATCTATTAGGCCTCGTGATGGTCCGTCAGTCCACTACTTTGCACCAGACTGAAAAATCTTTACTACTTCAACAACTATTGGATTGATTGCCATGAAATTGTGATCTTCACGGTGACAAAGTCAATGAATCCTGATGATGTTGGTGATCAACCAGTGTGACCAGCTGGCCAATGTTGTCACTTATGCAGTAACGTATCTGAAAATCTTTAAGATGGATGGATGCCACTTTTTGTTAGCAGCACTGTATGATGGATGACAAGTTATGCATTTCCTTAGCAATCTATTTTATTATTTCCTGTTCTGATTGATCTTTAAAAGATTCAGATTTTGTTTCCAGTTATCTCTTCCATCAACGTAATGTCATTGCCATGCCAAGTGCTTGTCGATTTCATTCATCTTATTTCATTGATTATTATTTTTGCACTACTGCACACAGACATTAGATTATCCCCCTCTGGGAGAGCAATATTATTCTTCAAAACAATATGGTTGTC